ACCTTGACAGCTTTTTTAAAATCTACTTTACTTATTTGCTAGCCTTTTATTCTGCTGGACTCTCTTCATTAGCTGTCAAATTTCTATTTTACACAATCAACTAGAGGCAAAATAACAGACAGCAGCAGCAAAATTCGTGGTCAACAAGTTTATAGCTTGAGGCCCAGAGTGGCCCAGTTGCACATAGGCTTTTCTGCCCTCCAGAGTGGGGCTTTCTTGTAGATTCATAGTGCTATTTTAAGCATTCTTCTGCAAGGGGAAGTAAAAGACAGAATAGACTTTTTTCTGGAGGTTGTCACGTACAAAGGGAAAAGTGAATGAATCAACAGAATTGTTTTCCATACTTCTGTGATGATAACAAGCACTCCTAGGTCTTAATCTAAGTCTTGATATTTTTATTTTATAATAATTATTTTTTTAATACTTGATCCTTTTGTACAAAATGTGATACAAAATCCTCTGTACTGCTGTTCCAAGTGTTTTTATGAAGAATACAAATATATATATTTGTTAACCTGAGTTAAGTGCTCCTCAAAAATTAGTCATGTCCTGTGGCTGTATTAAAATATTTCATCTTCTTGAATTCATGAGCAAACTATATACTCTCTTCTGGCAGGCTGTCTGACCTACCTCATTCTCATCCATTTTGAAAAATATTCACCCTAGGCAGAATGTTCACAGTGATGTAACGGCTGTCTCTGAAAATACTATGCTTGGAGGTGGCATCCTTTGGAATAACCTATGAAAAATGTCAGCATCTTTTACAAGCCACCTACCATATTTGCAAGATATTTCTGCAAGTTTGTCTAAACTGCTTTGTGTAGAAGTTTTATGCTGCTGTTTTCCATCATCATCTATATTTTAAAAAATTGTTGACAAATTTAAGAAGTATGAATTCAATTCAGCCAGCCCTGGACACTGAAATAGTTTATTTTTTCAAAAGACATTTATACCCTCAACTGGAAAGACTTCACTACATCTGATACTCTGATATTAAAGGAGCTTCTTTAATATATGAATATATAGGTTAGTCTCTTCCCCACTTTAATACTTGACATCTCTTTTAGAAGTATCAGAAGAGGTATAAATTGTATTGCTGATTTTTAGCATGATAACAACTCTCAAATGAAACCTAAACTGAAATTCTGTTTAGGCTCTGTACATCTAGTATAATTTTTAATGTGAGACTGAGTTATGTGGTGATATCAACACGGGTGCCTGCTGTGTGCTATTGTTAAAGTAAATGTAGATTTGCTAACAACAAGAGATTAAAAAAATCAGTGAAAGTATGCCTTGAACGTAATCAGATATATTCTGACATACCCACCATGTCCCATAGCTTGCCCTACTTCACATTTTATCCTTTTATAAATAACAGCTCTTAAACTTTAACTTTATTTGCTAATAACCTGAACTATGTTTGAACCAGTAGCCTGAAGTTGCATGCCCTGTGACCTCTCCTCTGCACTAGCTGGCCACCTCAAGGCAAAGAACTTGCAAGATGTCAGCCCTGATTACCTGCTGCAGTCAAGTCAAGCAGATGTTTCATGGTGGTGAAAGCTTGACAAGTGTTACCAGTGCAATAAATTAACATCTTTCTACAGGTTATGTTTTATAGAAGTTTTGTTCCATAGGAACCATAAAGCGTAGCTGAACAGGACTGTCAGCATTTGTGTGCTGTAATCTGCAGCTGCAACTGTTTCTGTTCACATACTAGGATTCTTCAGTGTTGGCATTCTATAAATTGGATTCCTAGTTGACAAGGAGTGCGCATGCAGCCTAGACTTTTATTATTTTGTTACTATCCCTTTGGACAGCAAATAAAATATTCCTCACAAGATAGTCAGTGCACTGGGATACTCAAAGCACTGCTAAATAATGTATGAGGAAGCAAAAAAATGCTGTTGGCTGCAAAGTCATGATGATCTAAAGTCTACAGAAGGGAACTAACTCACCTATCCCTCAAGTTGTACCAAAGATTAATATGGGCCAGTAAATTAATTTCTGAAGGATGATTCTCAGATTATTGGAAGTTTGTAAATCTTATGGTTTGAGGGTTTTTTTGTTTTGTTTTGTTTTGTTTTGTTTTGTTTTGGTTTGGTTTGGTTTGGTTTAGCTTGGTTTGGTTTGGTTTTTTTCATGATTTCCAAATAGGCTCTAGGTAAAGCTTGAACTATTTTAGATAACTGCTCTTTTTTTGTTTGAAAACTCTGTGCAAAGTGAACAAGAGCAATTTAAGGTAAAGTAAATCTGAAGTTACCTGGGAAGAGTGTTAAAATGCATGTGAAAACTTAAAAAGATCATGTTTTAAAGACAGAATCTTTCCTGCTGATCTTGAGGGAGCTTCCTCCTTCCCTGTTGGCAGAAAAATGTTACATACAACATGAAGTACATAAGTGATATAATTTCTCAATGTTGTACAATCAATTTCTATATCATTATTAACTCAATTATGTAGCATTTGATAAAAAAACACTAAGATATTTTAACATTTCTTACAAAGATTAACACAAAAAGTTCTAATATTTGAGCCTTGTGGTAGGAGCATATTTTCTCAGCATTGTATTTGATTATTTCCATAGGAAGGTGTCTTCAATTAATTTATCTGACTCTGAAAGAAGAACACCCTCATGAATTATTAAAAGAAATGAAATTGAAAATTGTAAAAACGTGAATGCACTAGTTTATATCTATACCTGCTATCTATATCTAGTAAAAATTTCAGACATATCTGTTTTAATGAGCTAAGTCTCATAAAAAGAATATTGGAATTTGATTCGCCAAATGTTTATATTCATTGAAAATCAGACATAGGAGCATACTGGCCTGCAGGTCACAGCTCTGCTTCTATGTCATGGTTTAACCCCAGCCGGCAACTAAGCTCCACACAACTGCTTGCTCACTCCCTCCTGGTGGGAACGGAAAAGTGAGAAAACTCATGGGTTGAGATAAAGATAGTACAAATCCAAAACATAGCTCCGTACTAGCTACTAGGAAGAAAATTAACTCTAATCCCAGGCAAAACCAGCACACAGTGTCACAGCCTTTCTGTTGCTCCATGCTGTGAAAGTCGGCAAAAGTAAGCAGAAAGTCTACTGATAGCCCTGGTGAGTAAACTGTATATAATCCAATCTCGTGATTGCAGCCAGAATGAACAGGAGTCCCAGATCTCCTGCTTTCTATGTTTTGGGTGAATATGCAACACTGAGGCAAATATATATGTGAGGGTTGCATAGCACATAATGATCATAATTTTGGTAGCTGCAATTGCAAAGCTTCAGCAGGCTTTATAAAAGATTCAAGATGGATATTTTAAATGCCTCTAAGAACATAAAGGAATGTAGGATTCAGAAGACAAGAATAATAATGTATATTTTTCTCAAGCCAGACACATAAACAGCTGGAGGTTTTTTCGTAATAAAAATTCCAAAAAATATAAGTTAACAAAGTAACTACAGGAGGTCTTATTAGCCTTACTATCATTTTACTGTTGCTATCTCCAAGTACTGAGAATTTTGCCATCCAGTTCATCAAGGAAAGGATATTTTGGGATAACCACAAGACTCCAGCTTTTGGAGGATAACTCTGAAAAGTGTGAAATCTGTAATAATATAAAGAGAATTTGCAGAAGTATATAATATGTAGATTTAAAAATGATTGGTATGGAACTCTAGCTCTAAATGGCAGTAGACTCTCCTTTCATCGAACTGCTTTTGTTACATTCTTAAACAGAGATCTTGATAATTTTATCAAAGGGAGCCCCAAACCTGACAGACATGGTCAAGAAGAAATCTGAAAAGACTGTATTTATCTTTCACTGAGATGTTGTTTCATGACAGAATTGTTCAGAATGAAATGTCAGTAATGAGATGTATGGAACATTGTTGACTACCAGGTTATGGAACAGCTTCTACAGCAGAGCACTGTCATACCATCATGGGCATCACTCTTTTCCCATTGCTTTCTTTTGAGGAGTCAATTTTTCAATTGTTTTAGTGAGTTGCTGTTAATAGGTAGTAACTTTTTTGGTAAAGTTGCTGCAGGTTTTCAGTAGAGGAGTTTTCCATTGGAAAACGCATTTTCATGGAAATGTTTTATAGAAACATTAACACCAGTGCAATTATTTGAAAGGAAATAAAGGCAGTCAAAGCAATGCCCCATGTTTTGACCTGATACTACTAAATGTTCCATTCATGATTCAAATTTGAATGAAATTCAGTCAAAGACATGGATTTACATTTCTATTTTTAACAGTTATGTTACGATAATATGTATTATGTGTTTAATGTTAGTATATTGAAAAAAAGAAAATTAATTTACCAACAACATCTAATTCAAGGAAGATTTTTTTTTTCCTTACATCTGATAATAATAGTAAATCACATCCTATCTCTTTTACCAAAGTTAAATCAGTGGATGTAACTAGTTCTCAGCATCCCTCAGTTTCAGTATGAAATTCCTTGTGAGAAGGGAGAGTTTAATTGGGAAGGAGCTGGTCTAGATAGCCTACCAAATAGATTAATGGATTTTTTTACTGATTTAGCTAGAAAGACTTAGTCCATAATTACATTTTAGGTAAGAAATTGTTCATGCACATATCAGGAATACTTGACTGATTGTACTATCCGGTAAAGATTTTTGTTATATCATATCATGTTAGAGGTCAGGTACTATTTGAAGTTGTCCATGATGCATGTTCAGCAGGAATTATCCTTTTTGACATAAGTATTAGGTATAACTTGTTGTTTCCAAAACATAATTTGGTCCTCTTATTCCAGGAAGAGTGTGTACTTATGTGCATATGGGAGCATATGGCTGTGTCTATGAATATCTTTGAATTACTAAAATGATGTACGCTTTGAACTTTTAATCAGTTTAATTTTGTCTTTCATAAAGAACGTGTCAATTATAATTTCTTTTTAAGTGAGTATTTAATTTGGCTAATTGACAGCTGGCTATACTAACAGTGATTTGATCTAGTTTTTGTTCTGTCTCTAAAGGAACCAAGATCTCGATAACCTCATCAAAGTGAATCCAAGTTCTTTCACAAGTGACAAGAAGTAAGTCTTGAAAGCTTCTCAGGCCCTGTTTTTCTAAGGCAGTGAGTAGTTTGTAACTATGAGAATGTCAGGAAAGGTAATGTTGCAAATCTGTAAAATGTTTATATATTAATAAGTAGCATTCCTTATACAGAATGATTAATATAAAAATACAGATTAAATTAACTGGCATGTGCACTATCAGCTGAACAAGTAATATCTGTGTCAAGCTTCCATACATGTCTTATATGCTTCCTCAATAAAAGCACTGAAGATATAGTTAGAAAAGGGGCATTACACAAAATATTGTAGAACTCATGTATGAGGTGCGTCGCTCCAACAGGGTGTAACAAAGCATTTTAGTCAGCAAGGACAGTGATCTATAAAGAACAACCTGAACTTACATTTTTGAACTGCACATCAGTTCAGCATTTTTCAGGCCAAGTATCTTGTTGTTTGTACACATGCCTTCAGTGTATGGAAAGGGAGGAACGGCCAGGGTACTGTGCTAGTAAGAGCTATGTAATATTTGTCACACCTAGCATTGAAATTCTACAGAAAACTTCAAGAATGATGTTCTAAACCATAGCAGCACAGAAATGTTGCCAAAATGATCATCTTTTTTACAGTAGACATTCTCACATATATGCATACATACATACATATATATGTACACTTAGCACTAACCTGTGAGTATGATTTTTTTTGCAAATTTTCATTCACAGAGAATTTATTAGGATAGAGTCCAAGACTTTGAAACACTACTGAATTTTAGGAGGCATCCAAATTTTTACGATTAATAAGTCTATAATGGATTGAAGTGACCAATTTATGTTTCACAGAGCTAACTTAGCCTTTTGCTTTTGCTCCCTACTTCTACCTGAAGAGAATCAGGGTTTTTGACATTAGTTAAAGTGCTTTTCATAGGTCATTCCATTCTCTAATTCACTGAATCATTTTAAAATTGTTGTTTAAAAAGTCCAGAGGAAAAAATAGCCACTAGTTTAAATGTATTTATGAAATTAAAAAACTGTTTCCTCATATATAAACTCAGTGAGCCTTTGGATGTTTACATTTTCATAATTTCATAAGTATAGACATAATCAATGTTTTAATTGTTAACTATGATGACACAGGTAGGTAACTTCTTGTCATTCCAGAAGCAAAAATGTGTGGACATTTGGACATATTTTTAGGTGTCATCTGAAGAAGTAGAACTTTCTTATTTTAAATAAAATCATTTTTTGCAAATTAATGATGCAAACAAGGATTAAGCTGCTTGGAGCCTGTAAATTTTTTGAAAGTTCATGTTTCACCTTCACTATCTTCATTGACAAAGAACAATCTTAAACTATGGCAATGATGTGATTAAACAAAGCCTTTTTATTTTCTTGGCTATTCTAGATAATATTTTTTATTTAATTATACAGAACATTACCTTACTAGTGGAAAATTGTATACATATTTTCTTATGGTCAATAATATATTTGCAAATTTTGAACATAAACTTAACAATTTACTTTTTTCCTTTTAAATGTGTGCATAAATATATTTCTTTCTTTTACCCACACTCTACCTCTTCCCAGATAGGGGGAATATTTTAATAGTTGTTTTTCTTTGTTGTTTCAGAGGAAAAGACCTTGATGATTCTACTGAAATAAATACGGCTGGTCAGAAAAATAACAGGCAAGTCTGTCATAACCTGTCCCTTATATACTTATAAAATGTTTGTGATTGGTTGGATATTAGTATTAATAGGTTCTGTTCTGTAAAAATCATTAGATTGGGCAAAATTAGTATTTTTATTTGACTGAAGCCATAAAATTTTATCTTTTAAAAATTCCTCATTAAATACAGGCTAGTAAACATAAATAATTCAGTGTGGAAGAACTTAGGTAGTACTTGACTTTATCTGATTGGAACTCTAAATAGTCAGTGCATGACCACTGAAGCTCTTTAAATTAATATGAAATGGTCTATAAATTAAAATTTCTCCTTTAAATACAAAAGAGGAGTATCATAAATAAATTTTTAAGAAGATGTAGTCTGGCCCTTCACCTGTAGCATGGCAGCACAGTGCGAGACAGCGACCATAAATTGAAACAAGAGAGACTCAGACTGGACACAAGGAGGACTGTCCAGCAGTGGAGCAGGTTGCCTGGAGAGGTTGTGCCCTCTCTGTCCTTGGAGGTTTTCAAGAACCAACTACGAAAAGCCCTGGGCAACCTGCTCTGACTTCAGAGCTGCCCCTGTTTTGAGCAGGAAGTTGGACTAGAGACCTCCCAAGGTCCCTGAATTCCAACCTGAATTATTTTACAATATCGTAGTGAATTTAACAGTTTTGAGTAGTTTGTCATTCTTTTGTAGTGTCACGCTGGAGACAAACTGAAAAACATTGAAGTTTGATCTGATAACTCTTACTGCATTACTAACTAAACACTTATGAAACAAATATGTTCAAGAAACAATACATCCTCAGTGTAGTCAGGAATCTTCCTTGTGAAATGCATGTAATCTTTTCTTGTTCAAGACAAATAATTTAACCCATTTAATATGTTTATGTTGAATCAAACAATATGATTAATTCTGAGGTCTTTCTCACTTTCACAGAGATGAGGACCTTGGTGATCACACTGAAGTAAAGTCTGCTGATGACCAAAGTAAAAAGTGGTGAGACTCAATACATAGTTGTCTAAAATTTAAAGAACGAATAACAAGTGTTGCAGCTTTTTAGTATGGTATCAGAAAATGTGAATTCCTAATACAAGCAAGCAGAATTTTTATAACTTGAGTAGGGTACCTGTATTATTTCTAAAATGTGCCTGATTAACCAAATATAACAATATAGCTGTATGTATTTTGATAATAAGCAATGACTCAAATCAATAATCTGTAGTGAATGAAAATCCCTGGTGACAAGATCCTCATAAGTATTTTTGTGCTTATCTAGGTGTTTTGTGAACTCAGTTGTTAACATCTCAAAGAAATATAAGTAAAAACATTAATAGTTTAAAGGATTCACTGCTACTAGGTTTCATTATTTGCAAAAACTAAGATCCATTTTGGTCAATTAAAGTGAAATTAATATTACATTTTTAGGCACCATTTTGATGCTATCTTTTTGAGTCTTCCATTTAGTTGTGTATCTAAATGAAGAGGAAGAATTTAGCTATCCATATACATAAGCAGTTTTGTTATTTTTAAATAAAAAATATTTTTATTCTAGCAGTCCCATTTGGCAGTCTGACCAGAGAAGCATATACTGAATATCCACGGTGAATGAGCTTCTCTTTCAGTTCTGAAGGGGAGCCTGCCAGATTAGGAGTCAAGCACAATAGAGGGTGATGCTTCATGCAGCATGCTATGCATATAAAACAGTGACCAGCACTGAGCAAGGTTCGTTTAGCAAAGCTTCAGACCTTGGCAAGCTCCCTGAAATAAATCAAGCTGCAGCCCAAACATCCAGTTAAGGCTTATAATCATCAAGTTGTTTCAGAATATAACCTTTGGCAGAACCAAACAAGAGCAGCCTTTGTCTGAGCTGCTTAGTAAAATCATCAAAAAACATTATTAGCACTTATTCCTTAAATCCTATAATTTGTCTGACAAGGTTTATTTTATGTTTGGTTGCATGTCATGTTTGTGGCAGGGAAAACTGCAGGAAACAAAGTTTCTTTTGCTTGAACCGTAATCCTGCTTTTTGAAATAACAGTCTACATATCTGTTTAGCTGGTCATTTCTAATAAAAACTTAACTGTAGTAGATCCAAAGAAAGAAAATTTTGAACTAAAATATAGTAAAAACAAGAACAAAACCTTTTAGAATACTGCCAAGAAAATGCAGAATGCTGTCAACCACTGAGATATTACTGAACAGTTAAAAACCTCTGTGGGCACTTTGAGGAAACTAAAGTTCAATTAAAGTTAGATGAAGTTTCTGATATGAATATATCTACTAGCAGGAACTAGAAGACTTAAAGTTATAGATCAGTGATTCCATTATTTTTCACAAGTAACAATTTAACAACAGTAAGAAAAGCATAAACTTACTTTGCGTACTGCTTTTAGCACAAGCTTCTACATTTATAGCTGCAAGTGTATTATAGCTGTAAGTGTAAGCTGAAAGCTGTGTAGCTGAAAATGATTTCTAAAAAGCGTTTGTTTTCTTGTTATTTGGTTTCTTTTTTTTTTTTTTTTTTTTTTTGTAGGACAACTGAGCAAGCATATGAAAATCGTCCAAGGGCTCCAAACAACCTCCTAGAAACAAACTACTCCAGTGACAGTGAAAGAAAGACCAGGTACTGCAGACAATGAATTGAGAACCATAATGTGTAAAGTGTCATTGCTTGCAAAAATATAAAAGAAACCATTTTTATGCAAGAAATTTCAGGGATATTTAGAAACCTCAGGCTGGTCTCTGGAATCATGCCAGCCCCCTTCCAAATTCTGCTTCCAGGATCCCATGCATAGAAGCCCACAAAGCATAGCTCTAGTGCACAGAGTGAGGAACACAAGACATGCCCTGTGTAGCTCTAGAGATGTAGCTGAGGCATGAAATTTGGGAGAGTGGTTACGACAGAATTTTTCTATAACCAATAGAGGAAAGGCATTTCCTGCATGTTAGATACACTGTGCTCTCAGGGGGCTTATTTCTTTCTGAGACTGTAGGAAAAACATTACACTCTTCACTCAGGTGCCTTGTTAAGTTCTTAAAACTATATGGGATGACTGAACCCATGTATCATCTCTTATCCCAGTCACCGTAACATGGGTTTCTGACTTTTTGACAAGGTACAAACTATTTTAAAAACCATTTCTCTTGCAATATTCTTGCTCTAGCTAGATTCTGTCTCTACAAGTACATGTATTGCAAATCTGAGTGAAAAATGTGATGTAGGGATATTTAATAGGACTAACTAAACACTGGGTCTGTTGGCAACAGGAAATAATTGAAATAAAGGAAACAATGTATTTCTCTTTACAGTCAAAATGTATTTTCAAGAAATATGACAACAAAAAATATATAATTCTTGAATGAAAGATCTTTTTGGATTATGAAAACCCATATTCGGTATCAACCCACCCATCTATTAATTAATTAAGCATTAATGTCAACAGGATTGTTTAAAGACACGGTCCTATATATATGGTGTTGTGTTGCTGTATAGTGGTCATGAACTGCCTGAGTCAAGGCTGATGACTTGGACGGGAGAGGAGAAATCTTCTATTGAGCCTTAGTAATAGGGAAAATAGCAGTCACAGTTTGGTACCTTATGGGAACTATGGCAAATGTCCCAATCCTTAAGCATATGCACACGTGAGCCTTGGTGTGGGTATGACTGGTCTTTGATCTCTCACTTTCTTACATTTGCTGCAGGAGGTTGGAGTGAAGTTGAATTTTGTGCATTCTGAAACTTCTGCATGGCCTTGAAAGCCAAGCCCATAAATTGGCTGAGAATAAAAGAAAATCTAAATAGCATACAATTTTAAGACTCAAAATTACTATTCAACACAAAAGTGTATTAGCATTTTGCAGACATACAGCTTCTGAGGTGTAATATTCTGAATACCTTTAAAAATTAAAATAGAGAACAATAATACAGGAATGGCAGGGCAACAAATGCACTTCAACATGCAGTGTTATCTCACACTTGACAAAATGTATACGTCCTACCTGAAGCTCTAATCCCAATTTAATTCATGAAATCTTACCAAATTAATGGTGTTTTCAGGTTATTCTTTCAGGTTTTATCAATAGGTTTTACAGAGTATTTATTGTTGAGTAGTTTGCTGTATAAACAGGTCACATCATAGCAAGTAAAGGAGTGAGTGATATGAACTGAAAGAAGGGACTTGATGAGATATACTGTTCTCAGGCTGCATTGTGGCTCAGATTTAACTTAGTGTCATGTCAAGCTGTCAGACTATGCATTTATTTGAAAAGGTTCTGAGTTTCCTCACACTTTCAGTTGTCAAGACTAGAAACTGATGCTTCAGAAATATTTTTGCTGTAGCTTCATAGGTTCTTGTTTTATACAGTACAATTTTTTTTAAGATGGAGTTATACATATTTTTGTATATTTCAACCATAATAATGTAGCCAGTTATTAAAAACCAAGGGACACTCTTCTCTATACTAGGACACTTGAGGAAAATATTTTTCTCTAGACAACTTTCTATAAGAAAAACAGCATTATTTTCAGGCATGCTGCATCTGAATACCCGTATTATGTTGCATGTGCAATGCACAGTATTCACTTTGGCCTGATCTCAACTCAGACTTAACTAGATGATTTCAAATTTCAACCAGACGCTGCACTAGATTCTGCAGCTAAATGCAGTGACTTAAATGGAAGATTGGGGAAAAATAAGCTTAACAACAAAAAGAAGCACAGACAGGCCCATACGTTATAGGAATAGAGAGTTGATATTCCTACTCCACTTTTCACTATAGCCAAGAAACTTTAGGCACTTGCACCTGTGACATATGTAGTGCATGTGTCTAGCTTGGTTGGTGCAAAAACAGCCAGAAAAACTCTTTCAAAAGGCAATCATTTAGCTTCAGTTTGCTTTCCTGTTTAGTAAGCTTACTTTCATCTTGCCTGAAATGTAAATGGAGCACTGGGTGTTCATTTGAGAAGATGTTTTCTCTGTGGTTAGCAAACCCAGGTTTGCTACATTACTATTAAATAACAAGCATATTGTTATGTTCTATGAAATATAAATAAAACATTTATCATTTAAGGTTCTCAGTAACTGTGCAATTTTAATACATTTCTGGTGTTGCATAGAAATCAAAAAAGAAATATACACGTTACAAAAGACAGGTCTGTAGAAAAGTCTATCTGGTCTGTGTAACACCTTTCACATGCATATTATCAGTCCGTTATACTTTCCCTGAAAAAAAAAGACTTGTTCTGCAAATGCACATTATTATAAAAAGTTGTTCCTAGCATTGCTAAACATTATTCAAGAGTGATATGAAACACATAATAATTACCATATACCTTATGAATTTCTGGAGGAATAGGATAATTAAATCAATTCAGAAATGTTCCAAACATTTATGGCAAGATGACTTCCTCAGCTGTCACATACATGCTCATCCCTTCCATGCAAACAAAACTGACAGTTATGCGACTAGAACTGGGACTGTTAAAAAAGGAGGTGATAGTTAAATTCAGTATATTCCTTCCTACTCTGATACAAAGAACAATACAGTTACTTTAGTGAACACAAATCACACATTGAACAGCCTGTATTACAAAGACCCTCACTCCACTTCTAGGGACATGTAATTTTGTTTGGTTGTTTGACAGGTCTTTGAGGACTAGTGAAAGAAGGGGGGAAAAAATAAAAAATGCAGTGTAACCATTTCCTGATACGTATCATTGAGACTGGAATATCAGCACAGGCAAACATAATACCATCATGTAGATTTTGCTCAATGGGCTTGTGGATTTAATTTTTAAATGTTGAAGAATCCTTCAACAGCAGAACACAGTCTAAGGACACTATCTTTCTAATTTATGCTTTTTTATTTGATATATTTTTCTTGATGGTTGTGAAAATGCAGAAAAAGAACTCATTACCAAGTATGATGATTTTTTTTACAAGCATGTTACAATAGTTTAATTTGCATCTTACCATCAGTGTAGCAAAACCTTTAAAAATAAAAAGTACCATTTAATGATTACTGTGCACTCATTGCTTCACAGCAAATCACCATATCGTGGCTATGAAGAAAATATAACAGGAAATACTATCAAAACTGTTTACTCTACTTCTGATCGGTAAGTACACGTTAATACCATTGCAAAGTATCAAAGGACACAGAAATTTTGCATAAACGTTCAAGTGTTCAGACAAAAGAGAGCAGTGGAAGTCACCATTAGGCTCATCAGACAGCTTTTTATAGAGCTCCTTTTCAGTGGGATCTTGCCATCAAATCACTACCGCAGCTCAGCAGCCTGACATTATGTTAGGCTTGTCACAGCTGACATTTTAAAATATCTATAGAAACAACAGCCAGTGCCTTAAGTGATAGAGTTGGCTTTGTGATTCTGCAGGTTTCTACCTCAGGCAGCTGCTTATTCTGCAACATTTTCTTCCTTTGTGAGAACGGTGTCTGTAATGACCAACTTTATGTACAGATGTGGAGGAAAAGGTTCACATGACAAGGCTGTTAAAAACTCTTATGTTTTCACACCAGTTAAGATACTCCAAAATATAAGAAGGATATTTGCTCAATCACTAATGTCTTACTTTGTGGGAAAAAAAAAAAAAATTAAATGTGCCCACTATTTTCAATTCAGATAATTTGGGTAGTCCCATTACTTAGAAACACCTAATCAGAAAAACTTGTATCCTTTCCAACATAAATATAAGGAACTCTGAGAATGATTAAACATTAGTACGGTAGTTTATCATTGAGTGGGAAGGATCAAGATCAGTTGATTTTGTAAGTGCAAAACCAACACCAACAGTTGTATCTAGAGAAAGTACAGACTGATGTCAAATAAGAATGCAAAAAGAGCTGAGAAAATTTTTAAAAATATTATTATGAATACCAGGTAGATTGTTCTATACATGTGTTCACTATAACTGCCATGAAGGTAGGATTTCTCTCTGCAGTGCAGAAAATTAAAAATGTTTTCAGGCACTTCCACAATATAGAGGAGAATTCTATATCAGACTGATCAAATGACGGCAGTTTGAATTCAACTAACCATTTACTTTTGTGGTTAAAATGTTAAAATCATTATCCTCCACTTCATCCCCATTTAGTATACATGCTCCCAGACATTCAGCAGCTTAATACAGTCTCATTACTGTTTGACATTGGTACACAAAAGAAGACCATTCCTTCTATCAAGGTATTTTTGCTACCTGACAATTATGCTCAGCAATTTGCCCATCACATGAACATATATATTACACCTGTCAGCTAGAATGGAGAAAATATACACGATATTTTTCCATTTATGGCCACTGTACAGTATACAAATGTCTTTCCCATGTAGTGCACTAAACTTATCAATTTTCTCCTTGAGATTTCAATGGTAGCTTTTTTTCTGACAGCTGATGTTATATTATATACACAGGAGTATAATTGGAAAAGATATATGTACATACTGCAGGAAGCCCTTGGGCATAGATGCCAAAATGATCTTAGATGCCTTGCAAATTTGCTGTCATTCAACTTGCTTCAAGGTAAGAAGATTTCACCTGCTACTGGAAATATAATTTGAATATAATACCTGCATTATATTACACATATGATAAGAGAGCATTTAGGCCTTAGGCCTTCTCCACCTGGGAGGAGGGCTTGCACACTGGAGAAGTTTAATGTAGGAAATACTAGCCTCTCTCTCTCACCCCTACACAATCCCTTCCTCTTTCTTTCCATATCTCTCTCTCCCTCTTCTCTTCCTCTACTCTCCCTCTCTCTGCCTCTCCTTCTGTCTTGCAACCACAAGGAGGATAAAGGATGCAGTGGAACATGTCCTGAATGTCCTACACATTTATAAGTCTTCAGTTATACATGCCTCCAGTCTGATCTAGTGAATTATATCCTACTTACACCTTCTTCATATTATAAAATTTTATTCTATTTCTTCTCTTACGAAGTTTTGTAGATGATCTTGATTAAGTGACATCTAAAACCATGGCTTGTGCAGAAGCCACACTCAAATGCATTAGTAAGAGGTAGCTAAGCCATAGGGGTAACCCACTGGAATCAAAGTTTTGGTTAAAATTTGGGTCTTATGGACAGTTTCTGCTGTAGGATAAAATAGTATTGAAATTGGGTATGTTTTTGCCTCCGTCTTGTTTATTTAAAAATATGTACATTTTTTTTCCTGTTTCCACTAAAAATAAAAGCATGGAAGAAATTTTTTTTTGCTTGTCATTCCAAAGCCTAAGCCTCAGCCTAAAATTCACTGTTAAACTTTTCTCAAGAGTACGCCTACCAGTGTTCAGCCCTCTAGTCTGTTTTCTTCTGTCTCATCTATCTTAATACTGCTTGCATCTCCACACAGGGTTTGTTGTTCTAACAAACAATACTGGGCAAAATCACTGCATTAGCACAGCTCATTTTTCTGCCCAGTCTCGCATAGCTTTTACTTTTGCTTCTGACAGCAGTTCTTTTACCTAGCATGAAAAGTAACCCAAAGCAGAATACAGCAGTAAGGTTGTACTTAACATGTATGAAGTTACATATACTCTTTCCTCATATGGATTTTCTGAGCACTGTGAGCACTAGAAATGCAATTTCTTCCATGGAAATCACTATGTAATACCTTCTCAATGCTATTATTGTGAGTAAATACAAGCTCTGGTTTGCTTCCATTCTAAAAAGATATATGAACCCACTTACAAAGGAAGGGGCTTTTCATGCAGTTAGGAATGTTAACATGTCAGTATTGGTTGAATTATCTTTTAAATATATAAGTTTATTTTTAAAATTATGTTCTTTTTGCTACCTGTTCCCAAGTGGGGATCTGTCTGGCCAGCAAAATTCAGCTTAAGTTTTGTGTAACTAAACATCTATGAAAGCACAGGCAAAAAATTAAACAGCTAACGTAGGTCTGTGGTTCATGCTTGTAGTTATGTATTTAGCTAAGTAGTGCAATTTCTCATCATTAATATTCATTTAGCTCCTTACAAATACCCTGTATCCATTAGAGATTTGTATGTAGCTGACAGCAGTATAAGGTCTTTGTTTCCTTCTAAAGGTATATACCAAATGTTTAGTGAGTAAATAATCCAAATTGTAGGGTTTTTTCTCTGGATAAAAATTCTAGCTGATCTTGGTGATCAAAGCTTTGATAATGTGCCCATCCCTTTGCTGAGTTATGCAAGGAAACAAAACGAGTGAAGAGATCAGCCCGTTTTAACAGTACCTTAATACTAGCAGCTTATATAGAAAAGTTATAGAGAAAACACAGTTATGTAAAACAGAAAAAAAAAAAAAAAAAAAGCTCTCTAGTACTCTAACATGTTGTACTAATCAATATTGAGTGCTCAGTTTCAATTACATACTAGCCCCAGTGAGCACGTGTAACATAAGGCAATTGCATATTGTCTGGATCCTGGATCTAATAGTTTACACTCCCTTTAAGTCCATGGTGTTGATATCACACAATTGCTTTATACATTTAGCTGCAAAGGGATGTTCTGGGTAAGACTGTTAATTTTCAATTTTTATAATTAAGATTTTCAGTCTAAATTTATCTGAATAGACAGGCATTGTGAAAATTATGGAAAGGTTTACAGCCTTTCTGGGATGGCTGGCAAAGTCGTTACTGAATTGCACTGTAAAAGTAATGCTGATTTTCATTTATCAGAGGATAAAATATCCAAAAGAACCAGAATTTGCTATTCTTTGTTTAGACTGAAAAAAAAAAAAAGTATGATCTGGGTGTCAAAATTCTGGTTTATAGATTGAATGACTTTGCTCCTTGATCCTTTGTAGGCTTTCCTTGTGATCTTGGGAAGTCAACCTCTGTGTGTATCAGTGTATTTTCATATGTGAATCATAGGCAATGCTTCTCTAACTCAAAAATTTGCTTTCTGAGACATTTCTGAAAGCATTTTCCAGATTCTGCAATAATGGGAGACATAGTTAATGGTTAAGATAAGGTATTATAAAATATTTTTAAATAAGCAGGTTAAATTCTTTAAGATCTACTCTGAGTTGGACAATTAAACCTAATCATGCTTTCTTTATGCAATGAAGAAACAAAAGGATCTTAGTTTAGAATAGATTCTTTTTTAGAATAAATTTCCACGTTAAGGCAGAGAAAATATCCTTTGGAAATGTCAGTGGGAAGAAAGGGATTGGCGCGTATGGAAAGAACCTATAGAAGAGACTTAGGTATCTGATTTTTAGATGTCTAAAGGTGAGATATTCAGATGTCTAATTTACTGTTCATTAAAAATATTCTTTCAGAGTTCAGATTTTATGATATTTCAGTACTCATAACCCCTGGTCTGATCTGGGGGTTGCTTACTTCCTGAAAGCATGCCGGGAATAAATATTAGAGAAGGGTTTCACTTTAATTTTTCTTGTTACTTTTACTCGTGTGTTGAAGTGTGAAGTATGTAAAAGACCACTGGAAGATCTTAAAGCAGGAGACAGCATTTGGATTTACAGACAAACTGTGCATTGTGAGCCTTGTTATTCCAAAGTTAAAGGTAAGATGCAATATGTATCATATTGAACATAAGAAAAACAATGTAGGGAGTTTCATTCATAGAACTTCAATATATTACAACACAGCTATTCCTTTTGCTCATTTCTGTGTGCTTAAACCTTTTCATAGTATTTCATTCAGTAAGACTGTCCTGCTTAGGATGATATCCAACCCCGGGTTCTAGACACAATAATTAGTCTGTACCTGTGAGGGAGATCTCTTCAGGTCTCGTAATCTGTAGGGTCCTACCCGTGCAGTCAGTGGAGACACCTACAGTAGGGCAATGACATCTTGCCCTGAGAGTGACAAGTATTACAAGGCTATCTGAGAATCAGGCTGTGCTATTGAAATAAATAAGCCAGGGTTCAGAGGCATTTTCCCCTACTGTAGTCATTTTGACCAATAAAGAGAAGATATAAAATCTATTAAATCATCGTGAAAACACTATACCGTGAGTACCATTCTTATCTTTGTGAGGAGCACAATGAGTAACAAATGTGCAAGGCAGTGAAGAATGAAGCTTTTGTTTTATTAATTTTTCTATAAGTTGCTAGATTTTAAGTCTTCTCTGTTGATGGTAATTATTAATTCATAATACTATAAATCTGAACCTCTGTACCAAATAAAGACAACTGGAAACACAGATGAAGTACTCTGATCAGCTGTTGTTCACCTACATACTTCTGAGATAAGATCATGTTAACTAAAATGAAAATAATCCATTTTTTTTGTTAAAATACTTTGTGTTATTATGCCATTGCAAAATTTGATGGGAAGAATGAATTTTGCAATTAATTGGATTATAAAATTAATACGGCATTGTGACAGTTATAAATCTGTAGGAAGACATACCAAGGGTCTGTATATTAAGCATTATAAATTGACGTCTGTTTCAGCAAATGACAAGATGGGACAGTCAGACTTCAGTAGATTTTCTAAAAAAATAAAATGATGTAAAGTTTCCTTCTGTGACATTTAGAGAATATTGATTTGCTTGGCATTTCTGATCAATCTTTTCTCTCTTGCAGAAAAATGGATCTACTAATTTTGACATACAGAAAGCATGATGAAGTTCCACTAGTATTTAGTTAAGTGTATCAGCCTGTTAATTCAACCACTATGGAAAATATGATTTTTTTTTGTTGCTAGGAACAAATACTCTATATGCAGTCCTACTGCATAGTTCCCAAAGGAATTAATTTCATGAGTATTTAGATGCCTTTTCATACACACATTCAAGGAATTAAACCAAGATATTGTTCATATATTCATCAGATCTGTGAAACTGATAAACCGTACGTAAAACTAACCATAATTTATTGAAATTTTCTGAACTACACATATGTTTTGAAGGGGCTGTGTTCTCTTTACAGAACACATCTCCTCAGATCTAAAGATCTTTATACAGTCTGCATGGGATTAATCATCTCATCAAAGATTAGTCATTTAAAAGTCAGCTATCGGGTTTAAACTATCTTCATACAGAGTGAAGTGAGTTCACCCTGTACTTTTGAGGAGAGACATCAATCTCTAGACAAAGATTCTTCCCAAGGAACTGAAATGATAACTTCAAGATGGAACAAGTCATCTTTGGAAAATGCATCTCTATTACTGCAGAGGGATTCTAGACAAATATTGTTATAGGGTTTTAATTAGAAGTATCCTGCTCCATGTTTGTAAATCTGGTAAAAATTGTATTACCATTTTTTTTTAAGAAGCGTACACTTAACAGTTGCCATGAAATCATGAAATACAGACTTTGTGTGACATTATGTTGCTGTATTTATATTTCCTACTTTATTAAGCTGACTATCTAGACACTTTGGATGGATTGATCTGGCCTAAATTTAAAGACCTGCAGTGTAAATATCTATTTCTAAGTTATTTGATCTATTCTGTCCTTATAGTCATATAGAGAAGTAGACATTTTTAGGAAGGGATTCAGTTGGTCAGATTGCAAACATCTATTTTACTGTGATGTTAATCATGTTCTCAACGTACATCTTACTTTCCATGGTTTGCAAAGGAACCTGGAGTGAATAGTTCAGATTCCTAGACATCTACACTAGGCCAGATAAACTCCTTCCTTTGAGACTATGGTGAAAGCATTTTTTTTTCCTTTTGGACAGAGTATGTGTGTTAAAGTACAGAAACTGAAAGAAGAGTTCGTGCTTTGTTATAATGCGTTTCCGCAACACTCAATAGTTACCTGCCTTATTTGCCTAAAGTAATTAATAGTTCAGTAGTTTACTGGACAAAGTGCTGACTACTAGTGTCTGCCATGAGATGTTTTAGATCACAGTTATTCAGAACTGATTTTTCTCCTTTACTTCTCAGCTTAAAAGGACTTCTTGGATATGACCATGACAGAGTTAGAGTGCTCAGAGGCTGCTGGACCTGAGCAAGAGCTTAGAAGGGTGAAATGTGCAAAAGCCACAGGTTAATATTAGACTGTTGAATGGCTGTCGCAGCCAAACTTTCTCTCCTCTTCTGCACACTCAGTAGTGGAGATGGAAGGCATGGATGTCTGTGTAATTTAAACCGTTGGGCCTACAGCTGAATAATGATGCAATCTGTCTTGCCTGGCTTAAAGGATGCTCAGACTGATATGCAAAGGAGCCAGGAAACAGTAGGTAGTTTGTTATTTTATGAAAAATTCTTATGAATTAATGGCAGTAACTTTAATAAACCTGTTATTATAGATATTTTTTCTGGTGTATGTCTCTTGCTGATGACATATTCGAGTTAAACTATACTTGTTATTTGCCCTGTGCTTCACCAGGAAACAATGAGACTTGCACAACAGGTGGAGAAAAACAATGGTGAAGTTTTAATGTTGGGGTCACAAATTTGGTCTTGTTCATAGGCCAACAGTTATTGCTAAGGCAATACAATGGAAGATGTTACACGTTCATTTGAGCCAGCACGTTATCATCCAGGACTTCCTAGTATTTGAGGGGATGAGAGATTTTAGTTCACTAGAGACCAGGAGCAAACCCAGGATCCAAATATCTGCTACTTAAATGCTCACTGACAGAGAAGTGGCAATAAGAAACAATAAATAATAATTCTGTGCTCATTAATTCATCCTTGCTGAACAGTCCTGGTAATTTTGCCATATGTTTTTTTTGTTATTTTTTATTACATGTTGTAAGTTTGCTGAAAAGAAACACCGGTTTTGTGATGCTTGATATTTACCATATAAAAGCTGGCATGGCAGTACTCATTAAAAAAAATCATATTAACATCTCAATACCAATGTATCAAAACTTAATTGTTTTTTGTCATTTTTGCATATCATTAGCATGTGGTGTTTTATTTCTTTTTGACTAGTGCTTCCATGAAACAATCCAAATGAACAGTTTGCTGGCAGCTGTTTTAATGAACGCGTTATCTTCAATAATGCATTAAATTAGACTGAAAAGCTGTATTGAGAGATGATGTACTAAATTATGTGTGGTTTTGTGATTCATCAGGCTCATTTTTTCAATGTGTAATGGATACTTTATTTTACAAAGCTGGGGCATATCTCTACAGGGGGAAGAATCAAGCAATAAGAGGAAAGGAGTGAAATAAGGTATATAATACATATTGATGCATTTAAACATGTAGATTGATTCAAAGCTACTGATAAGAACAAGGAATGTCACAAGAACAGCTTTGTTGCATTAATATATTTTCCTGTATCCTTTGTAGGTTCTTAAAGAATGCTCAGACTGAGCATTCCCTCCCTAGCAGTGCTTGACACAAGGTGACAAACATCTGTAGCATTGTCCTCTCATCCTTGTCCTCTTGAAATAAGCATCTCTGTGACTCTGACAAGACATGCTCTCTGTTACTTAGTAAAGCCCTCTTAGGTAGGCTCGTAGAAAACTGATCAACATCAAAGGGGCCTTGCTTTTATTCAGTGGGTCAGTTCTACTCCTTGCTCCTTGGTATGGAGATCTGTGTCATGTTGGGATAGTTTCATGTGTTCAGTTAATTTACTCCGAATATATATGGGTCAGAACTGTGCTACTCCACTTGCCTGCCTTGATGTTTTAACATAACCCTGCTGTTTAGAATGAAACGTAGTCACTTTTCCAGGTTGGTTTTGCTTTCTAATCATACTTGCATGTTGCTCACTGTAGCTATTCTGTTACACCAGGAGGTGGTTTTAGCTTCCAGTCAAGTTGGTGTCAGACTATGGGGGAGAAATGTAGCCTCCTTTTCTCCCTTCTGCTGCATCAAAACACCTCATTTTTCTTCACAGCAGTGTAACAGCAGAGCCATCCTTCATTCCATAAAGACAAAGGACAAAGACACTTAATACTTAGGTTTGATGTGCCAAAGTCTGAAATCGTTGACCAAAATAGATCTATTTAGCTGCTAAAGTGATGCAGAATCACCGAGGTCTTACACTCATGAGATAGTTCCTTCTTTGACTTCAAAGGCTTACTGTCCTGTTTTGTGCTTTGCCTGGTCTGAGCAACTCCGCTCTAATCTCCTGCATCAGTAAAACTGGGACTTAGAAACAATCCTTGCATTTCAGGGAGAAGAATCTGCAGATATTCTCAAAACATGTTTGGAACAGGCTGCTAAAATCAGACCTCCTCAAAAATCTCCACATATCTACTGCCTTTTAAAATCATGATGATGTTCTCTTTGAACAGATCACTGGCCCAGAAAGCGGGAGAGCCAAGTTCAATTTCCCCCCCAATATACCTGTGTTTTAACCAAGTGCTGTAACACAGTGGAACAGGCTGGTGTGTGGAATAAACCAGATGTTCCCATTCATGTTTCTGCCATGTTCACTGATCAGTGCAGGGTGGATCCTTATGGCCCATGGCCCCCAGGATAGCTGTGCTGCCTGCACATTCATTATGTGCCTATTGAGCCCTGAGGCATGACTACTGAATAGAAAGTATAGAGGCAGTCCTGGGAGCAAAGACCAGACCCTGGAATTTCTCCATCTCATCCCAGTGGTCTAATTCACAAATAAAAGCAGTCTGGACGATTCTCTGTTTATCTCTGTTGATGCCATGTTCCTTTCTAGCAACATTAGAGGAGTAGTCTGCACTCAGATTTCGCTGGAGCAGGATGGTGAGAGAGTGGAAGGTTTCATCTGAGAATACTAGAAATGTCTTCATATGACAATCTCATCTAAGCCTTAGGACCTTCTTTGCCTTAGTCTCAGCATTTTTGGACAGGAGCTAACTCCTCCTGCTTGTGCAGTGCCCAGCACAGCAGTGGCCTCTGGGTGGTACTGCTGCACCTGTGTAAGCGGCTCAAGAGAAATTCAGACTTCCCCCTCCCTTTCCAAGCAAGCTACTTGTAAATGTACTATATTTCATGAAGTTTTTATAACTGTGTCAGTGATAAATTGACAGCTATAGTCTCATAGCCTGTGCCAAGACCTAAAACTGGTTGGTTTTGTCCTGCTAGAGTCAATATCTGAGAATAATCATGCCAAAAGCACTTGTCTGAGTCTTGGCATTGCTGTACAGTCATCAGACATCTGTTTAGGGAGCTTAGACAGCTATTGTGGTCAAAACAATGGGCAGCCAACATTTTAAAACTACCTACTGAGGGGAAAAACAAAACAAAACAAAACAAACCAGAATCATTTCTGGAAAGAAAATGCAAAATTTTTCTGGCATTCAAGCAATTTTACCTAAGGGGGGCAGGGGGGGAAAATAGTATTCACATGTCAAAATACCCAAAAGAAACAGAAAAAGGAGAAAAGATTAAGAAAAAGATTAAAGCATTGTGCAAAGAAGCTGATTAAGGACAAGTAGAATCAGTGATTTTGAAAAATGGAGACATGAATTTAAAAAGTAATAGTGTTGCCATAAATAATGGTGTCATTAAAATCAATAGTCAAACTCGACTGTAAAATGAATATTCCAGAAAATGTTGGTCTACCTTATATCTTCTGGTTCCTCTACGGAGTTTCCACCCATGGAACTCAGAATTATGTTATCCCCATACGTAGTTCAAATCTTGGAATTAAAAATGAGAAACCAGCTGACCCTACTTGTAGCATTATAATCTCAAATAGCCAAATGCTTAAAATACTAATATTTGAAAAATCTACAGAAGTATATGATTAAGAATGCATTTGAACAGTGGGTTTGTCTGTTTATGCAATTGAGAATGTATTTGAACATTGCTTTTATTCGTTTACCAAAGTAAAAGATGAGTAAAAGTAACAGTAAAGCCTTTGGTAGAAAAATACCAGTTTTCTCATAACAAAATTCTCCATGGGAGCAAGTCTACTAGTTTTGACATGAATGACATCTGTGGAAAGCTGAAGGAGGAAAACAGGGAAGGATCAGTATTTTTTCTGCCTCTTCCACTCTACTGTGAGACATCCCAGATACTCAGTCAGAGGAAAGCACATGCTTTGAGAACTCTGGTTTCTGGCTTTTAACTCAGAGATCGCCAGGGCTGTTTAAAAACTCCCTTGCCTTTGAATTCAGAATCAGAATCTCCTCAGTGGGAACATAAATGAAATGGCAGTGGAGGTATCAGGGACTTTGCTTCTCATAATGAAATCAAAACAAACCCAAGGAAAAAGATTTAGCTAAGAAGAGTACGCTCTTTTTGTAATACCAGAATTCACACACCCTTCATCAATCCAGTGAACATATGCAAGAAATGCCTTTGCTGCACTGCTTTTTTTCTATTTTCAGATTGTCCCAGCATGGGCTGATTATAAAGCAGCTCTCCTCCAGCCCTGGAGGGGTGTCTGGCACTGACCATACACCTCCAGCATGGACAAAAGGGACCCGGAGGCAGAAAGACTGATAGATCCATCACTACCTGAACCCAGGAGACCTGGCATGGCAGGAGGAATAAGTAAAGGTTTTCATGCTGGTCTAATGATCTTTTTCAGGAAAGATATCAAGTACTCTGTGAGTTACAGTATAGGGAAGAGAGGGTCTGAAAAACAACTTTGGATTTCAATTTTATAACTGTACATGAATTCCCCTCTAGGTATCTTTCCCATTTATTGAATCTTCTGTGACGGAGCGGGTTACAAATAGTGCAAGGATGGGGTTTTGCTTGCTAGGCTTTTTGCTAGATCCTATATGATGGGAAAAAAAGACATCACAAATATAAATTACATGGGAATTTCTGGATATTCAGCAAAGTTTTTGCTTGATCAAACTGAACTTGGATGAAAGTTAAGGTCTCATTTTTTGAAACCGTTCCCCATCTGAAAATTTAACAAAGGAATCCTCCAGTATATTCATGTCATCATTAAACAAGGCATATTTCTTGTCCCAATGGCTACTGTTCCCAGAACACAAATCAAACTGAAATCTGGATTTTTGGCAAAAAGTGTCATGGATTTTTAGCCTCCTGGAGAGAAGCTGACTTCTGCCATTACGATCTTCAGCATTTTACACTCAAACAGACTATCTGCTGTTTCAAAACCTTTACTCTAATATTATCGGCTCATTTATTAACAACCTTGAACTCCACATCTCTCCCTCTACCTTCTCCTTATTCATCTGTCCTAAGGTTCTGTGAACCAAATCATACTCTCCAATATACTTGTATATTGGAGACAATGAAAATGTTGAAGCTTCTTTGAAAGCATAATTGGTCTTTGTTCTCAATGAAGACTCATTAGAGAGAAAACAACCCATCCTGATTTGTAAGATCTGAGCTGATAGGAGAGGAGAGGAGAGGGGAGGAAGAGAGGGGAGGAGGGGAG